CAGGAGGAAAAAGTTTTTTGCAAATAAATCTCTGACAAACATCAGGGTACAGTAAAACTCCAATAGTCCGGCATCCAATAGTCCGGCACTCCTGATAGTCTGGCATCAAAATGGCAAGAGCCTAGTGAGTGAGCTTCGGCAAAAAATGAGTCACAAGGTAACAGCGGCAGCAGCTGAACTGAGCAAAAAGGGTAAAATAGGCTTAAAAAAACTAAAACGTTACAGTATAGTGTATACAGTATGTACAATAAAAAGGGTTAAGAACACTTTATATACAGCATGTAATGTATACATTATATATATAACCATCTTATAGTACCTCCTGATAGTCCGGCATATTTGATAATCCGGCACCACTTAGGTCCCATAGGTTCCGGATTATCAGAAGTCTACTGTATATCAAAAAACCTGTGAGTGACATTTTTATTCTCAAATGTAGTGCTTTTAATTCAGTACCTTCTGCATATCCAGGCTTCACAATCTGGCATGCAGTGCAAAGCATGCTCCATTATCTTTAGAAAGAAATCGTAGAAGAGCGGGGTTTTCCCCCCAATATCATTTGCTACATTTGGGTTCAGGGATTTGACTCGAAGGGGACGAGCAAGGAGCGGGAGGAACAGAAAAGAGAGACAGTGGGGCCTGACGGGGCAGGGCCTGAGGCAGAGCAGGAGTGGAGAATGGACAGGGCCATCGCCTGGAGAGCTTGCCTCCCCGCACGCACGTCAGCTTTGACCATGCATGCAGGGTCAGAAGGGAAAGCAGGTCAGCTCAAATGAGGGTTGCCAACTCTCAAGGATTGGCCTGGAGTTTCCTGGAGTTAAAGATTAATCTTTATTTAAATATTATGTCATGTGATGAAATCTCCAGGAAAAGGCCCAACCAAAATTGGCAACCCCAGCTCAGATCCTGTGTTGTGTCACATGGGTCAGTTGCATAGAACAATTCCCTTGAGGGAGATGTCGTTTGCCCCGTAGTGATACCTGTTGTGTCTCGCCCCTGGACCCTCCTGGGTGGCATGCAGGGCTGGGTATGTTCCTTCTCAGTGCTATTCTAAGAGCAGTAGCAGAGGCTGGCAGATGTAGGTCGAACATCTTTGTTAAGAAATCTTTGGGGATAACCTCCTTTACTGTTAGTTTGCAGAGGGATTTGGAACAGAACATTGACGGGAATCAACGTGAGTCAGCCAGGATCGCAGGTAAATCATGTCAGACTAATTTGTTTACTTTTGCTAATGAAATAACGATTGATCTAGGATGCATAAGTCTTTCTTGATTTCTGACAGTTTTGTATGATGAATTATTGTATGAACTCTCTACATTTAGGTTAAAGTAAACAAGTACTAAGCTGTGTTAGTCTGTCACTTTAAAAACGATGAGTAGTTCTGTGCCACTTTAGAGACTAACAAAATATGTAGAGTCAAGAGCTTTCATGGGCAAAACTCCCTTCCTCAGATGAGCTTCTAGCCAGACATCCTAAGGAGATTTGGTTTAACAGCCTCAGCCCTGAGGGACCTGCACAGTTGTCTGGAACCAAAAGAAGGTGAAACTATGAACAAAATACTGATTCATCAAACCTGCCTATTCCCGTTCCTCTCATACGGATCTGCAAACTGCTTAACCAGGGTAGCAGGAGTCTGGAGGCATTTCAGTGGTCTTGCCGGCAGCGACTGTTGGGTGTAAGATGGGCTGACTTTGTCAGTAACCAGAGCTGCCCCACCCACAGGATGGTTCAGGGTGGCCGTCCCAGACCCTGTGCTTTGGGAGAGGTCGCGGGGGCTGCCTCAGCTGTCCTGTGGGCAGGGCCCAGGGCAGCCCAGGGGTCCTGGCGCAGGGCAGCCGCAGAGGTCAGCCTCCGCCACCGCACTCACAACGACGGTGGGAGCCGGAGCAACCCAGCAGCCTGCTCTACTTTGTCCTGATGCCATCTCCTGGCCCGCTGCGCTCGGCTTCACCGCGGCAGCAGGAAGCAACATGCCTGTCCCCAGGGCACCCTGCGCCCCACCACTGTGCTGAAGCAGAGCGCAGCGGGCTGGGTGAGGCAGGCAGCAAGGAGCTCTATGGTCCCAGGAGGGGCAGGGCCTCTGGCAGAAGGGCGGGGCTGGGACTTGCTTCCCTTAGGCCCAAAGTGCACTGGGTGGGGTTCCGGCAACAATTTAAAGGATCTGGGGCTCTGGCTGCCACCACTTAATTGCTGGGCCCCAGGCAGTTGCTCCCAGCAGACCTGATGTAAATAAAAGGAAAGACACATGGAATAAGACCAGACTCCACATCACTGGGAAATTGACTTGCAAGGCCCCCGATGTCTTCCCCCCTGGTATTGAAACCAAACCAGCTGTGTAAATCAAATCTAGAATGGGTGGGCATGACAGTTCGACTGGTTAGTGTTGACTCCAAGTCAACCATAGCAAGGCAAGTTGTTGGTTCACGTAGTAGCATTATGAAAAATAGATGGGCAGTCAGAATGTAACTCTCTGGTTGCCTGGTGGTTATCTCAGGGTGTCTGTCTATCTGTCTGACTTATATCATAGAATCATATAACTGGAAGAGACCTCAGAAGGTCATCAAGTCCAGTCCCCTGCTCTAAGCAGGACCAATCCCAACTAAATCAACCCGGCCAGGGCTTTGTCAAGCCGAGACTTAAACACCTCTAGGGATGGAGACTCCACTACTTCCCTAGGTAACCCGTTCCAGTGCTTCACCACCCTCCTAGTGAAATAGTTTTTCCTAATATCCACCCTGGACCTCTCCCACCACAACTTGAGACCATTGCTCCTTGTTCTGCCATCTGTCCCTACTGAGAACAGCCTCTCTCCATCCTCTTAGGAACCTCCCTTCAGGAAGTTGAAGGCTACTATCAAATCCCCCCTCACTCTTCGCTTCTGCAGACTAAACAGACCCAAGTCCCTCAGCCTCTCCTCATAAGTCATATGCTCCAGCCCCCTAATCATTTTGGTTGCCCTCCGCTGGCCCCTCTCCAATGCGTCCACATCCTTTGTGTAGGGGGGGGGGGCTGGACACAATACTCCAGATGCGGCCTCACCAAAGCCGAATAAAGGGGAATGATGACATCTCTGGATCTGCTGGCAATGCTCCTCTTAATGCACGCAGCTCAGCACACAGCAAGAAAGCCCCAAACACAACACCCACTTCCCTCAAGACTCCTGTATCTGCTTCTCCTTCACCTGGAGAACTCCCTCTCAAAACTCCCTGTTCGCAAGCTCCTTGGTCGCTTGCCCACTGCCTTATAAAGCCCCTCCCCCTACCAAAGCTCAGCCAATCAGCAGAGGCTTCTAGAATTCAAACTTTAATTAGAAGCCAACAGTTTCCACCTGCCAATCACAGCCAATCACAGCACAAACTCCATCAAGGGGAGGGGGAGGTGGGAAAAAAAAAGCCTCTCAAACACAGGGGAAAATAAATAAATAAATAAACAAAAAACAAAAAAGAACACACACCAACCCTCACTCACAAACACAAGCTCAGCACACAGCAAGAAAGCCCCAAACACAACACCCACTTCCCTCAAGACTCCTGTATCTGCTTCTCCTCTACCTGGAGAACTCCCTCCCACCTTGAAGTAGCCTGCTTTAAGGTGGTCATCCTGTAAGAGGTGATGGCTAAGTAGCAGACACAAGGTGGGGGAAGGGGAATTACAGATGATTTTGTGTGTGCGCATTAAGTGTTTTATACAAAAGAAATTATCAGTCAGGGGAAGGGCAGACCTTGAACACAAAAGAGAAAGTGAGAAACCACATCAGAAAGCAAATGCCGCAGTAACTCTTAACTCTGCACTGAGAAGCGTGAGACAGCTTCTTCAGTGAGGTTCTCTTCCCATTCACATACTGCGCAGTGCAGGAGCGGAGGCACTCGCTCCGTTCGGTTTCACAAAGAGAAGGTTACAAGCTGACTCGATTTACAGCTCATAAATACCTACACGGGGAACAAAAACATTGATAATGGGCTCTTCAGTCTGGCAGACAAAGGCATAGCACAATGCCGGGGTTGGAAGTTGGAGCTGGAGGGATTCACACTGGAAATACTGTGGATTTCTTGAACAGCAAAGGTAATTAACCTTTGGAGCAATTTACAAGCCTTGTGATGGCATCTCCATTCCCAGCAATGTGTAAATCAGGATAGGCTAGCAGATATAACTGCTCTGCTCAGGTTCCAGCAGCGGGAGGTCCCGTGGACCTGTGTCGTGCAGGAGGTCAGAATCATTGTGGTCCCTTCTGATTTATTATCTGCGACTGCAAAATCTGTGACACACTCTGTTCCCTTCAGTGACCTCAGGAAGGAGAATAGACTCTGCCTCAAATACAGGCTCTTCAGGTCCTTGGCGCTCTTTCTCCTCCACCAGGGAACTGGAGGAGCCCACCAGCTCTAGACTAACCAGCGTTAAGGAACCACAGGAAGGGGTAAGCTCCCGCTCCAGATTTACATGGCATGATGAATGCTCAGTCTTCCACTGTGCTTCCAGCACCGGACTGAGTCCTGCTCAGCTGGCACCACGGATGAGGCACCTTATAGCGTACTTCGCACTGTGGCCTCACGGAAACGTTCCCTCCTCACGCCTGTTCTCAGTGTGCTGAGGAGCAGAGGGGCAGGACAAGATGGATACAAACTGGGGAGCCGCTGGAAGAGCCAGATGCCTCCTGCCTGCTGCTGGGGCTGGAGCCTGAAGAGGATCCCTGCAGTGCTGAGGGCTTGCGAGAGCTGTGGACCCACCAGCGCACTGCGGAGCAGCTGGGACTGCTAGTGGCCATCCACCCCAGCCAAGGCACCAGACAAAGGGGTCATAGGAAGCAGCGCAGGGACGCTAGATTATAGTCTGGTTGGGCTGTTTCCTGAGTCTGGCTCAGCCCGTTTTGGCTGGATCCCCACTGACCCAGTGGAGGTTCCCTCTGCCATTGTCAGGGTCTTGGGCTGGGACCTGCTGGAGCAGGGTGGGTCCAGTTCCCCCTTCCCTCTGCCACCAGCCCCACCCTTGGCTGGCAGCCTCCCCACCGTCAGCCAAGTGGCCTGCATTGGTCGGCCAGCTGCCAAGCTAGGGTGTCAGACTGCTTGGTGACCTGCCTGAGCTCCCTACGTTGTTTCTTGCTCTGCCCTGCCAAGAGCACCCAGGCTTCAGACAGCCAGTTCCCCAGTAACCCTAGCAATGACCACTCATCCTGCAGCCCCATTCCCTGCATTTCCTGGGCACTTTTGCATTGCATTTAGACACGGGGCTGGCCCAGGCCACAGGCTACGGCTAAGGGGCTGTTTCATTGCAGAGTAGATGGGATCTAGGACACTGCAAGGGGGGAGGGTGCCAGCCCAAACAGCTGGCATGGGCCTGCCACAAGTGCGGTGCAGTGCAGACATACATTGACCCAGAATGTCCTTTGCAATTCCTGTCCACCCTCTCCCCCTCCCGAACTGGAGCAGTGCTGGCTGTCTGCACACATTTACCCCCCCAGCCTTCCTCGTGGAGTCTGACTTCACTCCAGGTCTTAAACTTGAGGGCTCCTCGGCACAGCGGGGGCTTCTGGGTAGGGTTTATAGCCATGCTTATCATAGCCCACCCAAGACTCTGCTTTGTTCCATCACTCAGGCGTTCTGAAAAGTTGTATGAACTGACATTGCCTGCTGGAGACTGGCCTGCGCAGACAATAAAGGGCCTGTTACTACGGCCAGTTGATGGAGATCCCCTTTAGTGCTGGTGAGAGAGCCCTTTGCTTTTGCAGCTGAGGAACCAGGCTGTGGCAGGCAAGAGCGTTGTGTGTGGAGCTGTAATGGTTTGTGGCCACTGTAGCTGAGTCAAGGGAGAGAAGTTCTTGTATTGATCCAGCTTTTAGGGAGAGCAGTGGTACATTCATTATACACCTGTACTGCTTGAATTCAGTGGGCTCTCTGCAGGAAGGCTTCATAGGTAAGAAATCCCAAGCACACACCTGAAAGACAGTGGGGCTGGCTGGTAGCTTCAGGATGCCTGTGTCCTGTCTCCAGCCAGATGCAAACCTTGTTTAGCCAGTTCTGGGAGTCACTAGATCTAAGGGCTGCAAACAGTTAAAAATGTCTTGATCGGTGCAAGGGGGGGGTGCTGCCAGGACCTGTCCAGAGAGTTGTCCCTGAGCTTAGACAGGGAGGCAGGCTGACAGAGGGAGAATTCTGTGGCATTGTCTCCGATGAACAAGATCTGCATGTGGCTGCATGTGGT